ACTCATGGTTGGCTTGACTCACAATTGGTTGCCTTGAGTACAGCTCTGAACATCCATGTGTGGTTGGCTTTGCTGACCTAGCTAGGACGTTTCCCATCCTTATCTGGCCTTTCTTCCCTAGGACTCAACCTTCTCTGAGTTCCCAGGATGATCCCAACCCCTTAAGAGTCCCCTAGGGAATGTTGTACTCACCTCTTCCTTGCATCAATGAGAATACACTATTTTCAGCCGAGCTTACGTTTTAGTTCACTGCGTAGTGTGTGCACCTCTGACAGTAGCAATTAATATACCGTTGGAAAGCAGACACCTAAGGCTAATTGCTGTCCAAGTTTCAGCCTCGTGTGTTATTGGAGCTGATCGTGACGGCGTTTTGAACAGAGGCGGTGCGAAGTCGTCAGTTTCTCCTTAGGCGGTTTCATGGGCATCCGCGACCCCTAAGTGGACTGAAGACTATAACAACGGCCAAGGACAAAGGCAAACGGTCAATCATGAGCTGCATGGTGCGCTGTCGCAGAGGAATCCGATACTACGACGGAACAGTGTTCTCACCTATCGCGCCCATCGACCCTGTCGCGCCCAGTCAAGACAACGACCCCACTATTCACACTTGGATTGATCAACCAACAAGATACCCACCTGACTTCGAACTGCCTCCTCCTAACACCAGAGTCTCCTCCTAGTATCCCCGCACGTCGAATCATTGACCTTTCGCCGTACACCGGCTACTTTGACCGCGTCGTCATTCCAAATATCGCCAGGATCGCACGACGAAATCGTGAAGACATCAACACCTGGTATCTTAACAGCTGCTGCAGGCAACACATGGTGGGATCACCGATGTTCATAAAAATTTTAAGGCACATGCGGCGACCGTGTGAAATCACCGTCGCCAATAACGGACGGCTTAAAGCCTACGATATCGGAGAGGTCTGCCTTGAAGCTGAAGACAGTCACTTCACTATTCACATTGGCAACGTTCTAATTGCTACTGATCTCAAGTACAACCTGCTCTCTTCAGCCCAGCTCATGCGGTGCGGAGTTGACATTCGTAGCAACTGCAAGGACAAGACTTTTGAACTCTACTACAAGAACACTTACATCGTGAAGGCAGACGACAATGACGGGGTCTTCGTGCTTAACTTCTCGGCTCAAGGCACCACTGGCGACTCGAATCAAACTCTTCTTCTAAAAACCACCCTCACGAAGCCTGCGTCCTCTGCTCCTATGGAGCCGCCAACTTGGTTACACCATGAGGAGATGGATCTTGAACGGCCTGCTTCGGATGGCTTCTACGATTGCGCAGCGTTCCGACCGCATTGACCTCCAATCCAGGAGGCACTGGACCTGCAACAATGGAAGAAGACATTGACAGTGGAACGTTAGCAACTGCAGAGCCAACCACCGAAGAACACACAACAGCTCCAACAACTGGCTGGGGAAGCCCCGGTCCTGCAGTCGGCCCTTGGGGGGAAACCCTGACGCCGGAGGAAGCGGCCACTAGCAGATGAGGTGCTGTCTCGACACCGGACGAAGGCGACGCTGTCGCCGAAGGAGGCTAGGGAGCTGGAGGCGACTGGGGAACCTCAACAGGCGGCTGGGGATCTTCAACTCCCGAAGGAGGCTGGGGTCAATCAGCCCCCGCCTATCCCGAAGCTCTAGGACTCCCCTCTGCGGAAGTTGCGGCGGTCGACCCGTACTGGGCAATGCGCGGCACCTGCTGGGGCGGACCCTCTCTTCCCAATCAGTACACTCCTGACACACCAGAACCAATGCAAGAAGAGTCAGAGGAAGATGAGACTTACGAGCTCTTCGAAGGAGCAGTGGAATTACCGGAACGTACCGAGGAGCCGCCACCGCCAGAACAAGGACCATAGTTGATTGAGGTTATCGGCGCCGAGTACAATTACTTCCGAATCCCCATGAAAGGACTTCCAGTCGCCGACTGGCCCAATCGTGTCTGCTTGTCACCGGCGACAAAGTTGACGCCAGCGACACCGACGACATCATCGAAAATCCCCGCACGCTTCTGGAACGGAACTTCATTCGGGCCTTCGCAGCTGACACCGACGCCGCCACCGACACAGGACCTGGAAAGGAGTAGAACGTCATAGCAGAAAGGAACAAATATTATCGGAAGAATGTCGGCTATCGTGCGGAGCCGGAAACCTGGCATCAGCGGCTGGGCCACCCCTCACACGTAACACTTAAGAATTCTCTACGGGCCGGTGTCTTCGACGACGGAGCACTGCTTCTTCCTCGCGGAGGCTCCCTCACAGTGGACTCAGAAGATCCACCATGCACCGTGTGCCCAGCTGCGTCGCTCGCTCACAAACCTTTCCCTGACCTACCTCCCGGCTACGAACGCTACAAGCCGCTCGACAAAGTCTACAGCGACTTTATGAACCTCAGCCAAGAAGGGCTTGACGGCAAAAATTACACACTCACCTTCATCGACGCAAGCACCCGTTACGTCTGGGCTCTTAACACCGACTGTCGCTCTCTCGCCTTCGAGTGCTTCATCGCGTGGATGAAGCGGGCCGAATGGCGATCAGGACTAAAGCTGAAAAGTTGCCAGACAGACGGAGCTCTGGAGTTCTTCTCGACCGAGTTCACCGAGCTCTTCAAGCAGAAAGGGATTGAACACCTGGTGTCCCTACCCTACGCTCACGAGCAGCAAGGAGTAGCAGAACGGACAAACAGGAGCCTCGCCACAAGGATGAGGGCCCTGATGAAGCAGTCGGCCATCCCAACCAAGTACTGGCCGTTTGTGATGAACCACATTGTGCGGCTGCACAGCTTGCTGTTATCCCGAAGCATCGAGAACAACAACTCTCCTAACAAGGCCTTGACGGGCAGAAAGGCAGACACGCATCTGCTCCGGATGTTAGGCCACATATAGCAAGGACTGGAAATTTTACTGACCGGGCACGCTGGGGCATCCACCTCGGGATTCAAAAGGAATACAAGGCGTGGATCGTGCTAGACTACGCAACACATGAAGTGACGAAATCACGTAACTGCGTCTTCTACGAGAAGCTGACTCTGCCACTGTTCAACGAACACCGCGAAGCTAACAAGGCATCGAAAAGGGTTTTTGAGGGACACCGCAGCTTCGCAACTTCACATGATGAAGCTGACCTGGCAGAAGATGCAGATGCAGCAAATGTTACCCAATTTGACAGCGCACCCAACATCCCCCTTACAAGCCCATTCCAGACTCCAACCTTCATACCTGTACACCAATTCAATCCCGACGATACAACTCGCGAGGCTCAGAACTTCAACAGCGACGCCCGCCAATCCCCGGACGCCAAGTTACCACCACCAAACACCTTGCAAGACACCCTCCGCCTCGGCAACGACAGCGACGACGACGTAGTCGAAGTAACCAGCTTCCACGACTACGATCGCCTACACTACGAAAAGACCAACGAAACTGGTCTCCGCATCCTCGGGCTCGCAGTCGCCGTTCGACACGACTCCCCAAAGGAGCCCATCACTGTCCGCCTAGCCCTCTCTGGCCCCGACAGTGAAAAATGGAAGGCAGCCATGGCCAAAAAAGTCGTGGCGCTCAAGAACCGCAGAACATGGAAGCTCGTTCCTCGAACATCGGCAAAGGGGAGAAAAATTCTCAGCAGAAAAGGGGTCTTTGTCAGAATCCCAACCACTAGACCATTCGGATAAAAGGGCTTGTTTCAGTAGCGGGTGAGTGCGCCCATAACCCCCCAGGCGAACGCGCCTGTAACCCTCTCCAGGATCAATCGGGCATCCACAGTGCAAATCTACTAACACCCCCCCACACTGGGAGGCCCAAGACTAAGCACAGCGGCAACGGCCTACATGTGCATACACCGGGAATCGAACCCGAGACCGCTCTGATACCATGTAAGAATCCCAACCACTAGACCATTGGGATAAAAGGGCTTGTTTCAGTAGCGGGTGAGTGCGCCCATAACCCCCCAGGCGAACACGCCTGTAACCCTCTCCAGGATCAATCGGGCATCCACAGTGCAGATCTACTGACAGTCTTCTGTATTAAAACGCTCGCGGATGGTTCCATCGACAAGTACAAAGCACAATGGGTGGTGCGCGGCTTTGAGCAAACTCACATGGTGGACTTCGACCTCACCTACGCACCTGTCAGGCGGCACACCTCAGCGCACATCCTTATCTGCATCGCAGCCGTCAAACAGCGACCACTCCGTCAGATCGACGTCGGCAATGCATTCCTCTACGCTCCGGTCGACGCCATCATCTTCGTCGAGCAGCCGCATGCCTTCGAGGAAAACGATGGCGCCGTCTGCCTGCATCAGAAATCCCTCTATGGGATCAAGCAAGCTCCTTGACTGTGGCAGTAGTACGTGCACACCGTACTCACGGAGCTCGGATTCAAGCAGCTGCCACACGACCTCGGGATGTACCGAAAGGAGTCGCGCGGCATGTTTATTCTCCTCGTCGCCTACGTCGACGACCTACTTTACACCGGCAACGACACGGAGCTACTGGACCAGTTTGAAGCGGACATCAAGGAAAAGCTGGAAGTTACCATCAACCACAACGTCACATAGTTCCTGGGTCTCAACATCACCCAGTCTGCCACCTACATCCACCTCTCTGCCCCCAAATACGCCAAAACACTCGCGAAGAAATTCGCCATCGGATGTGAAACAAGTGAACAGGAATGAAATGACTAAGGAAAGATTGGGTACAAATACAACCCTAGAAACCCTGTACCCCATATGTGCTACCCCGCTATAGCCTACAGCAACTATGTCATATAAATCTGACACACCCCCATAGGCAAAGTGGGGGAGAACAAGGGGTCACAAGACCAGTCAAGTAAAGCAAAGCAGAGCAAGCTCAGGGTGGATCACAACGTCACCACACAGTCCGAGCACAAGAGCAGGGCCAGAGGCCAGTTCACATGCAGGAGTACAGACATATATATATAAAGCTAGACAAGCAAGAGCAGGTATATATATGTCACAGTACAAGTAAAGTCAAGAGGAGAGCAAGTGAGGCATGACAGGCACAAGACCCAGCTGGGTGCAAAGGCGCTGATGGTCACAAGGTGCGAGTGCCTTGGTGAACACATCAGCAGTGTTGGCCTCAGAGGCCACGTACGCAAGCCGCAACTGTCCACGCTGCTGCAGCTCACGAGCAAGGAAGTAGCGAAGAGCAATGTGCTTTGTTCTGTGCTCCAGACGCTGCTCTCGACACAAGGCCAGCATGGCCTTGTTGTCTACGTACAGCACTGGAGGAGAACGAGGCGGCTCTCCAAGGTCAGTCAGCAGGTAGGTGAGCCAGCGAAGCTCCTGTGCAGCCATGGCCCCAGCGTAGATCTCAGCCTCACAACTGGAGCTGAGAACCGAAGACGAGCGAGTAGCCCGCCACGAGACAGAGCCGGAACCAAGGCTGAAGGTGTAACCCTGTGACGACCGCTGCGTAGCCTGGTCGTCAGCCCAAGAAGCGTCCGCGTGTCCTGTAAGGACCACTGGACTCCGCCTTCCAAGCACTAGCCCCATGCCCGACGTACTGCACAGGTAGCGCAACACCCTCTTCGCTGCAGCCATGTGCTCTGGTCGGTGTCTCCCAGGAGCAACATAGCGTGCAAGAATGCTCAGAGGGTATGCAAGGTCAGGTCGTGTGCAGGTCATCAGGTACATGAGGCAGCCAACAAGCTCTGGGTACGGGCCACTCGACTCTACGGACTCATCCGAAGGCAGAGCTGAGAGCGAGTGGCGAGTAGACAGAGGAGTGGCCTGAGGCGAGGAGTACGTGAAGCCGAAGCGCTGAAGGACCTGCTGCACCATGTGTGACTGAGTCAAGGTAATGGTGCGGCGTGCTCTGTCCCGAGTGATCTGCAAGCCAAGGTAGCTGCGCAGTTCACCCAGGTCTGTGCACGTGTGTCTCTTCAGCAGCTCGGACTTCACGTAGGCGAGTCCAGCAGTGTCCGCTGTGGCAAAGACCAAGTCGTTGACGTACACGAGGATGTAGAACGGCGGCAGAGAAGTGTTGGTGCGCAGAAACAGCGACGGGTCAGCAGTAGAAGGAGCAAACCCAAGAGCCGCAAGCGTAGTCCTCAGTGTGTCGTGCCACTCACGCGGTGCCTGGCGGAGACCGTAGACTGGCCGTCGGAGGCTCCACTGGGTGCCAGGAGGGAAAGTCCCAGTGAAGCCAGGTGGACGTCGCAGCCAGATCTCCTCGTGCAGGCTACCCTGTAGGAACGCAGTGCTGAAGTCGAGAGAGTGAAGCTCGTAGTCGCGCTGAGCGGCTATGTGCAGCAGCACCCGAAGAGTGGTCATCTTTGGGGTGGGAGAGAAGGTCTGAAAGTAGTCAACTCCCTGCCGCTAACTGAAGCCACGAGCAACGTACCGCGCCTTGAAGACAGGTGGAGAGCCCGGCGGCCGCTTCACCCTGAAGATCCACATGCCACTGACGATGTTCGCCCCAGGAGGGGGAACTGCGTCAACGTAGGTGCCTGTGGACTTCCAGGAAGCCATCTCTGCATCCATAGCTGCCTGCCACTGAGACGAGTAGGGACCCTCTACGGCCTCCGCGTAAGAGCGCGGAGTCGGGATGTCTAGTGCATCCGGGTCTCCCTCAGGAGCAAGCAGAACAGACGCAAGATGAGGTGAAGCAGCCGCCAGACACTGTAACTCCTCCTGCCTGTCCTCTAGGACGTCCGTGCCAAGAGCACACTCACCCCCGACGGACGGAGGACAGACACACGCAGACTCAGCAACAAGACTAGCAGCGTAGTCTAGACGACAGCGAGCAGCAAAGTCGACGAGCTCAGCGACAAGAGCAGACGCAGCAGTGGACTCAAAAGAGGGGTCAGTGACGACAGTAGCAAGCAGACGCGTGACAGTAGGACTGGCAGCACGAAGAGAGTCCGACTCCGGGTCGGCAAGGGCAGGAAGAGAGGACTCAGGAGGAGAAGGCAAAGGGGCACGCAGAGGAGCAGTGGACGGACGCAGAGACATCCGGTGCGTGCCAGGGACAGGAGGAGGACGCGGACGCGAACCGCGACCACTAGTGTGAGCAGCACGAACAGGCGACGCAGGACGAGACGCAGGCTCACGACGCTCAGCAAGACCTCCAGTAGGACCAGTGTAAGGAGAGGGAGCAGGCAGTGGAGAGGAAGGCTCCAACAGTGACTGTGACTGGACAGGCTGTGAACACTCTACCGGAGGAGAAAGACCAAGAACCTGCTGCAGGAGCGGAACGAAGTACGGTCGAGGCCGCGCGGCAGCTCCAGACTCAGCAGGGACAGCACCAGCACCCTCAGCGACAGCACCAGCGCCACCAACACCTCCAGCGGCAGGACCTCCAGCAGCACCAGTAGAAGAACCACCGCCGGGACAGACAGCAGTAGTCTCAGCACCAACACCCTCAGGAGCTCCTGCTCCAGGAGTACCCGCAGACCCAGCAGCTCCGGGACTGGCAGCACCAGCACCCTCGATGGTCGAAGAAGCTCCAGCTCCAGCAGCACGCCTCTAGCGGCGAGCAAACCACTCGCGCAGCTCCTGTGGAGAGAGGGGCTCCCGGCGAGACGCAGCAGCAGGAGAAACCCCAGGCTCAACAGCTCCAGACGTAGCACCCCCAGGCTCAGCAGCTCCAGACTCAGTACCCCTAGGCTCAGCAGCTCCCGACCCAGCACCCCCAGACCCAGCACCCCCTAGCTCAGCAGCTCCAGGCACCGTACCCCCCGGCTCAGCACCCCCAGGCTCAGCACCCTCCGCAGTAGCACTCCCAGGCCCAGCACCCCCAGGCTCAGCACCCCCAGTAGCAGCACCTCCAGGCTCGGCACCCCCGCGCACAGCACCCCCAGAGTCAGCACCCCCAGGCTCAGCACCCGCAGCAGCACCAGAGTCACCAGTAACCTCGACCGAGTCAACTGCGTCTACCTGGGACACACCTGAGGGGGCAGGAACCTGAGGGGGGAGGGGGTCTACCGGGGGGGGAACTGGCACAAGGAAGTCCGGCGGAGGGGGGAGGGAAGGAGTGCGGTAGGGGAAGAGGCGGTAGAAGGGGACTGACTCGTCGAACGTGACGTCCTGGGAGGACAGAACACGACGAGAGGAGGGGTGGTAAAACTGCCACCCGGGAGCGTCTGTGGGGAAGCCAAGGAAGACACAGGGAGCAGCACGAGGGGACAGCTTGTCCGCAGACAAGTCGCGGACAAATGCCCGAGATCCCCAGACACGGAACGCCGACGCATCGCCAACCTTCCCCGTCCACAGAAAAGCTGGGGAGGTCTCCGGTCGGGAGACTCTGGGCTGAAGGTTGATCTGATGCGCGGCGTACCAAACCGCAAACGGCCACAGAAAATGGGGGGCAGCCGCATGCACCATGGACGTACGGGCGACGTCCATGACAATGTCGATGCGGCGCTCAGCAATCCCATTCTGCTGTGGAGAGTCCGGAAGCGTGGAGGTCTGGCGGATGCCTCGTGCCCGACAGTAGGCTCGCAGAAGGCCGGAGGAGAACTCCCCGCCTCTGTCCGAATGCAGACGCAGAACAGGAAAGTCCGAGCCGAAGCTCCGCCTGAGCTGGAGACGAGCTGCGCGGATCCAGTCGATCAACACCTCAGTGACCTCACCCTTGCTGCGCAAGGGGAAGACTGTGGTGTAACGCGAGTAGTCGTCAACCACCAGCAGGAAGTAGCGCTCGTGACCCTGTCCACGGACGCGGGCTGGGCCCCACACGTCCATGTGAAGCGTCTGCATCGGGGCCTCCGTCGGAGGGAACGGGGAGGAGTGAGGGGTAGCCCGCAGGCGACCCTCGACACAGGGGACACAGGGAGGGCCAGGCCCCGGAGGAAGGGGAGGGAGGGACCGGGGAAGGCCAGAGACAAGAAGGCGAGAGGCCATGCCCCGGAGACGAGGCAGGGAGGGGTGACCCATCTTGTGGTGCCACAGGAGGGTCTCGTGGGACAGGAGGCGACACGAGCAGGGGGCAGACTTAGGACCAGACCTGGACGCTGCAGCAAACACCTGACCCGACGCAGCTACCTGAACAGACGCAGGAGAAGGAGACGGAACAGTGAGTGTGTACAGGCTGGACCCTGGACCACGTGTGAATGTGGTCAGGTGTCGACCCGTGTCCGCGTCCGTGCAGTGGGTGACTCGTTGGCGCGCAGGGGTGAAGTGGTCAACCCCTGCATCCTGTAGGTCAGCACCCGCCACCAAGTTCGTAGAGAACGAGGGGAGGTAGAGACCGGACAGGGCGCCAGACGGGACCGCAGGGCACGGCAGGACAGTGGAGTAGCGAGCCAGAACAGGACCCCCAAAGGGGTCTGCCAAGGAGACCGCCACTGGCCGACTAAGCGGCGTGAGTGTGGTGCGGTCTTGAAAGAAGGAGCGAGACGCCCCGGAGTCAAGAGTGAAAGTGAGAGAGGGTGAAGTCGACACTGTACCTGAGAGAGCAGACTCACCAGCACCCGAGGACTCAGACTCACTGGCACCTAGAGCAACAGCCTCACCAGCACCTGGAGCAGCAGCCGCAACAGCACCTAGAGCCGCAGTACCAATGCCCGGGTCGGGCGGGAAACACCGGTAACAGTCACCCTCCTCACTAATAGTCACAGCATACATAGCAGCAAGAATAGCATCAAAGTCAAGATCAAAGATAGCTACTCCAGCCCTAGACAGCTGGTCCCAGCGAGGGATCTCAGAGGCGTCAGGAAACTGGCAGCGCCAAGCGTCAGTCAGGCGGCCGAAGCAACGCTGGGCGGAGTGTGGACCACCACACTGCTCACCCGCACGGTCGCCAGTGCGCAAGACGTAAGTGCACGGACCAGTACCCCCACCCCGCTGACGCGCAGAGTACCACTCACGGAGCTGCTGCGGGGAGAGGGTCTCCTGACCACGCTGCTGCTGCTGGCGCTGACCACCACCGGAGCCACTCCTCCTCGGCGCGCCACGACCTCCGCCGCCTCCTCCGCCGCCGCCGCCACTACCTCCACCGCCACCGCCACTCCCACCGTCGCCGCCGCCACCGCCGCCTCCGCCTCCACCCCCACTACTACCGCCGCTGCCGCCCCCGCCTCCACTGCCTCCGCCGACACCTCCACTCCCGCCACTACTCCCGCTACCACCCTCACCTCCGCCGCTGCCTCTACCTCCGCCTCCACCGCCCCCGCCGCCTCCACCACCGCCCCTGCCCCCCTTGCTCTTGCCAGAGCGACGTCTCCCGCTGGGGGCAGACGCTGCTCCGACCGACTCAAAACCAACAAGGTCGGCCGTAGCAGCAGAGGCGACAGAGGGCAGGAGGGGGGAGGGGGAACACCCCTCAAAGATGGGGGTGCGCGGGTCACCACGAGAGGCCCCTACAGCGAGAATGCTCTTCTCGGCTGTGAGGAGGGACTTCTCGAGGATCTCGACAGTGAGAGTGGTGGGGCAGACTGCGAGTAGGTCGTCCCTGACTCCGCGAAGGGAGTCAGGGAGGCGGGTGACAATGTAGTAGAGAGTGAAGTACTGGGGGGGGGGGGTTCTTGGCGCAGAACTCAGCAGGAAGTGCAGCGCGGAAGCGAGCGTCACTAGTGCGCAGGTGGGTAATGAGGTCGGCGACTGTGGCAAAAGCAGCAAGGTCGGGAAAGAGGTACGGTAGCATGAGGCGGCTCAGTGCAGTAGTGGCAGGGGTGGAGTAGCGTGCGATAACGGCGTCGTACAAGGTCTTAGCACTCTTGTACGACCCAAAGTGCGCACGCTCAGCGGGAGGGAGGTGGCGACGCACAGCAAGACGTGCAGCAGCATCGCGTGTGGCCCACTGTGAGCGAACAGTGGCATCCTCAGTAGCAGCAGGGGCGGGAGAGGCACCAGAAGTGAGATCAAAGAGAGAGAGTCCGTCAGCTCTGTCGCACTGTAGGAAAAGCAGTAGGTCGTCTACCCACACGTCAAAGTCAATGGCTCTGCCCTCAGCGTCAAAGGCGAGGACACTGGGGGTAGCCATGACAGCAGTAGAGAGAGGGCAGCGCGCAGAGTAAAGCTCAGTGCTCACCAGACAGGGCAGTGCAGGGAGGGCTCGGGCGGCTCGGGCGGCTCGGGCGGCTCGACTGCTGGGCGGCTCGGGCGGCTCGGGCGGCACTGCAGCTGGGGCAGCTCGGCTGCTGGGGCGGCTCGGCTGCTGGGGCGGCTCGGCTGTTGGGGCGGCTCGGCGGCTGGGGCGGCTCGGCTGCTGGGGCGGCTCGGCCGGGAGATGTAGGGGCGGGGCCGTCAGGTGCAGCGGCGGGCCGGCAGGTGCAGCGGCGGGTCGACCAGGTGAGGCGGCGGGCCGTAGGGTGCAGCGGCGGGCCGGCAGGTGCAGCGGCGGGGCCGTCAGGTGAAGCGGCGGGCCGCTGGGTGCAGTGGCGGGCCGTAGGGTGCAGCGGCGGGCCGGCAGGTGCAGCGGCTGGGCCGTCGGGTGAAGCGGCGGGCCGCTGGGTGCAGCGGCGGGCCGTAGGGTGCAGCGGCGGGCCGGCAGGTGCAGCGGCGGGCCGTAGGGTGCAGCAGCGGGCCGGCAGGTGTAGCGGCGGGCCGGCAGGTGCAGCGGCGGGGCCGTCAGGTGAGGCGGCGGGCCGTAGGGTGCAGCGGCGGGCCGTAGGGTGCAGCGGCGGGCCGGCAGGGGCAGCGGCGGGGCCGTCAGGTGCAGCGGCGGGCCGGCAGGGCCGCGTCAGAGCCGGCGGCGGGGCCGCGTCAGTGGAGGCGGCGGGGCCGCGTCAAGCAGGCGGCGGGGCCGCGACGAAGCGGGCGGCAGGGCCGCGTCAGAGCCGGCGGCGGGGCCGCGTCAGTGGAGGCGGCGGGGCCGCGTCAAGCAGGCGGCGGGGCCGCGATCAGGAGGGGTGGCGGGGCCGCGTCTGAGGGACAGCGGGGCCGCGAGGGAAATGGCGACCCGAGGGGTCGCTAAAAAAAAAGGCGCGCCTCGGGGCGCGCTTCGGTGGGCCCTAAAAAAAACGGTCCTTAGGAAGGACCCGCTCTATACCATGTGAAACAAGTGAACAGGAATGAAATGACTAAGGAAAGATTGGGTACAAATACAACCCTAGAAACCCTGTACCCCATATGTGCTACCCCGCTATAGCCTACAGCAACTATGTCATATAAATCTGACATCGGACCCATCAACCTCACTACCCCCTTTCGCACTCCTCCTCCTAACCACGAGCCGGACACCACGCCTCTCTCCCTTGAAAAACACCGGCTCTATCAGCAGCAGTTGGGGTGCCTCCTGTTCGCAACCGTCACGTGCCGGCCCGATCTCTCCTACGTCGCAAGCCAGCTTGCTCGGTACATGAAGCGACCTGAAGGGGAGAATCTACTGGATCTACGCCGAGCACTTCAATACTTCGTCTCTACTCCCGACGTCGGCCTCACCTACGAAGCTAACTTAACGGCTACCCTGGAGCTGCATGGCTACGTAGACGCAGACCACGCGGGAGACATTGGCAACAGACGCTCCCGCACAGGATTCATTTTTCAACTCCAACCTGCTGGACTCATCTCATGGAACTCTTAGAAGCAGGAAGTCATTACCCTTTCGTCAGCCGAAGCAGAGTTCATCGCCGCCAGTGCAGATGTTCGTGAAGAGCTGTACCTAATGGAGACAATCGAAGGTCAACAGTCAACGGTCGTGACCCTTGACTGCCCAGTAACCGCACTTGGTAGTTACGCGGTGCAACATGGTAACCGTCAAGAATAGCAATAGTCGTTGATGTTATAACTGGAGGATCGCAGTGGATAGGATACAGCTCCTGAGTATATGAGAGAGTTGTGAAGTCTCTGTAATGACCTTGTTGATAAAGTTTGAGAGAACAAGATGATTATAAGATAAGAGTACAAGAACATAAATAGCAATCCTAGCTAGCCATGTACTCTGAGAGTTACATTCCCTTATTAACCGAATTACAGTGCTACAGTAACCAAGTCTATTCCCATTCTAGATAGTTGCCACGTTGCATCTCGTAACTGCCTCGTGCAGTTACTGGTCAGTCAAGGGTCACGACCGTTGACTTATCTTCAACTGTTGACCTTAGGGTGACCCTTTACCTTCCGTGTGCTCTATATGAGCTGTTGCGGTACTGATACAGGCGCTTGCTGTCAGAATGTAATTGTATACATTACTTTATAACTGCCTGCAATGTAGACTTAGTGTAGTTATCTTTCTTGTTAGGTGGTGCACCTTTCTTCTCTTCTTTCATATTTGTACCCTTGAGCCTATAGTGAAACCATCCTTTTCTCCTTCAAACTCTCTCGACATTCCCCTTCAACCCTAAACTTCAACTACTAAGCCACTAAAGCTATGGCTCCTAAGCCTAGCTGTACTTAGTATCTTAACATGCTATCAAAGCATTTATACTCCTGGCCAGTGGGCCCATGCTTCCGCTGCCTGTCATCCTGCCGCGCGCCTCGGGCGCGCGCGGCGATTTTCTGCCCACCGTGTGCTCGGGGAGCACGGCGGTTTTCTGCCCGCCGTGCGCCCCGGGCGTGCGGCGTCTTCCTGTCCGCGCGCGGGCCTGTTCTGCCCGCCCGTACACTGCCCTTCGCGGCGTCCCGCAGAGGCGCCGCTCCTGCTCGTCGCGACGCCCCTGCGGGACCCGTGCATCGCCGCTCCTGCTCGTCGCGACGCCCCTGCGGGACCCGCGGGGCGCTGTCCCTGCTCGTCGTGGCGCACCTCCCCCTGGCCGCCGCCTCTGCCTCCCCTGCGCCCGCGCCTGCTTTGCAGCAACGCGCGGGCCTGCCCTGCACCAGCGACGCCGCCCCTGGAGCAGCCGCCCCTGGAGCAGCTGCCCCTGCAGCAGCTGCCCCTGGCCACTGTAGCAGCCGCCCCTGGCCCCTGGAGCAGCCGCACCTGCGGCCGCCCCTGGCCCCTGGAGCAGCCGCCCCTGGCCACTGGAGCAGCCGCCCCTGCAGCAGCCGCCCCTGGCCCCTAGAGCAGCCGCCCTTGGAGCAGCCGCCCCTGCAGCAGCCGCCCCTGGCCCCTGGAGCAGCCGCCCCTGCAGCAGCCGCCCCTGGCCCCTGGAGCAGCCGCTCCTGCAACAGCCAACCCTGCAGCTGCCCGCGCCGCCGCTCCTGGACCCTGTGCAGCCATGGGGGGAGGGTATGGGGGTCACGGGTGTGGGGGTGATGAGTGTGGGTGCCACCCTTCCCCTCCTCCTCCTCCTACTTCGTCTCCCACTGCTGCAGCTGCCGCTGAAGGGGGGTGGATGTGTGGGAGCCGAGGGGGAGTGAAACTAGGGGTGCGGCAAGGGGTGCGGCAAGGGGTGTGAAAGGGGTGTGGGACAGGTAGGGGAGGTTGAGTGGAGGTGGCCGCCGTGAAGTCAGCAGCTCCAGTCGCCCGTGAGACCGTTGCGCCAGTCGCCCGTGAGCCCGTCGCTCCAGTCGCCCGTGAGCCCGTTGCTCCAGTCGCCCGTGAGTCAGTTACTCCTGCCGCTCGTCTAGCCGCGGAGTCAGTTGCTCCAGTTGCCCGTGTGCCAGTTGCTCCAGTTGCCAGTGTGCCAGTTGCTCCAGTTGCCCGTGTGCCAGTTGCTCCAGTTGCGCCGTGTGCCAGCAGCTTCAGCTGCCGCCCACCACCTCCTCTCCTCTCATAGTCCCTCCTCCTCCTCACTTGCCCTCTCCGTCTGCTGCGCTCTGCTTGGTGTACCCCTTCCGGGGGTGTTTCTGCACATGGTTCTTCACTGCAGGCAGTTAGGGGGTGTGTAAGAATGTAATTGTATACATTACTTTATAACTGCCTGCAATGTAGACGTAGTGTAGTTATCTTTCTTGTTAGGTGGTGCACCTTTCTTCTCTTCTTTCATATTTGTACCCTTGAGCCTATAGTGAAACCATCCTTTTCTCCTTGCAACTCTCTCGACATTCCCCTTCAACCCTAAACTTCAACTACTAAGCCACTAAAGCTATGGCTCCTAAGCCTAGCTGTACTTAGTATCTTAACACTTGCTTCGTTATGAAGTGACACGAGAGTGGAGAACCTTCGGGAATGCTTATGATAACCTTTCGGTTATTCCAAAACTCCCCTTCATTCCTGAAGGTGAGCCACGTGGGACTTGTTGGTGATCCCGCAGAGGTTGGCGAAGTGCTTAAACTGTTGACGTGGCAGATTTTTTGTCAAAAAGTCAACCGCCATGTCACCAATTGGGCAGTATGTGACCTTGACCTTGCCTTTGCCAATTTCGTCCTTGACGAAAAAGTAGCGAAGGGCGATGTGTTTTGTGCGGTTCACGAAGCCGGGCTTGTTCGCGCTCTGGTTGTCGCAGAGTAACGTGAAGTGCCCGTTCATCGTTACTTTCGCTTCCTGTAGGAGCTCCATTAGGTACAGCTCTTCGCGAACATTTGCACTGGCGGCGATGAACTCTGCTTCGGCTGACGAAAGGGCAATGATTTCCTGCTTCTGAGAGTTCCATGAGATAAGTCCAGCAGGTTGGAGTTGAAAAATGAATCCTGTGCGGGAGCGTCTGTTTTCAATGTCTCCCGAGTGGTCTGCGTCTACGTAGCCATGCAGCTCCAGGGTAGCCGTTAAGTTAGCTTCGTAGGTGAGGCCGACGTCGGGAGTAGAGACGAAGTATTGAAGTGCTCGGCGTAGATCCAGTAGATTCTCCCCTTCAGGTCGCTTCATGTACTGAGCGAGCTGGCTTGCGACGTAGGAGAGATCTGGCCGGCACGTGACGGCGGCGAACACGAGACACCCCAGCTGCTGTTGATAGAGCCTATGATTTTTGAGAGAGAGAGAGAGAGAGAGAGAGAGAGAGAGAGAGAAAGAGAGAGAGAGAGAGAGAGAGAGAGAGAGAATGAGAGAGGGAGAGAGAGAGAGAGGCGTGGTGTCCGGTTCGTGGTTAGGAGGAGTGCGAAAGGGCGTAGTGAGGTTGATAGGTGCGATGGCGAATTTCTTCGCGAGTGTTTCGTCGTATTTGGCGGCGGAGAGGCGGATGGAGGTTGCGGACTGGGTGATGTTGAGACCCAGGAACTGTGCAACGT